CGTTTAGCTTGGACAAAATTCTCTTTTATAGGCATCAATCCATTTACTTTTCTTCCAAACATCAATTCTGAAGGTGACTTAATTTCATCTGAAATAGGAGAGTTACGATATTCCAGTAAAACTAAATATGGATCCTTGTTGTCAACTACAGCTTTTTCTAACATTCGCTTGACAGTTTGAATATGTCTTTCAACCATTCCATTAGACTGTGGACTTGAAGTTCTGGTTTCAAAATTCCATCTTCTTGCAAAATCTTTATATTTCCTGCAATTATATTGTGGACCATTATCCGAATATACTATTTTCGGAATACCATGTCTTGCAAAAATTGATTTCAATTGCTTTATCACTGCTACACTTGACAAATCTTCCAAATGTCCAATTTCAACATATTTGCTAAAATAATCTATAACTATTAGATAATCCCTTCCTTGAAAGTAAAAGAGGTCTGTTCCCAATACTTCCCATGGACCATTAGGTATTTCTTTAGATATCATTGGTTCTTTAGTATTAGCTTTTTGTAAACTTACTTAAACATGTTTGACAATTCAGTACCAAATCTTCAATTTCTTTGGACATTCCTGGCCAATATAATATTTCTCTTGCTTTGATCTTGCATTTTACTACTCCTAAATGACCATAATGAATTCTGCTTAACATATCTTTTCGTAAACTTCTTGGTACAACAACACAGGAATTTTTAAATATTAATCCATTTGCTTCTGATAGTTCTTCTCTGAAGTTAAAATATGGTTTTGCCAGTTCTGGAACCATACATTTTTCATCTGGCCATCCAGTTTTAATTAATTTTCTTAAAACTTGTAGTTCTTCATCTTTTTCTGTTTCCAGTTGAAAAACTTCCATTTTATTTTACCATTAGACATTGGTATACATTCTACAACTAATCCAACATGAGCTTCTATTTCTCCTTCAAAGAAATCAGATCCTTTATCAGTGAATGATCTTGATAATGCACCGCTATAAAAAGTTCTTTTCCTGGTTTATATTTTATCTCAAACTGATATGGCTGGCTGTAATCTTATACGCATTCTTTGTAGTCTTACAGGGCATTTATTTAATGGCTTTTTTTAAAAATTGATTCCAGTGGTTTATGATCACTTTCCACAGTAATATTTTTTCCAAATATATACTGGTGAAATTTCTCACACGCAAATACAATAGCTAAAGTTTCCTTTTCAATTTGAGCATAATTCTTCTGTGTATCTGTTAATGCCTTAGATGCATATGCCACTGGTAAATTATTCTGCAGTAAGACTGCTCCTAGTCCTTCTTGAGATGCATCTACAGATAAAACTACTGGCAAGTTTATATCATAATACTGTAAAACTGGTTTATTTACCAAGACATCTTTTAGTCTTCTAAATGCTTTTTCATGTGTTGCATTCCAGTTCCAGATAACTTGTTTTTTCAACAAAACATGATGTCAATTCTGATACATTAGGTATAAATCTAGAAACATATGTAATCATTCCTAGGAAAGTTTCTAATTCTTTCACATTTTTTGGTGGTTTTATATCTAGAATAGCCTTAATTTTGTCTTCATCTGGTTTTAAACCATCTTTAGAAAATATATGTCCCATATATTTCACTTCATTCAGCCCAAATTTACATTTATTTAAATTAAATTTAACATTCTTTTCTCTGGCTCTGTCCAACAACTTCTTTAATCTTAAATCATGTTCTTTTTTATCTTTACCCCAAACTATAATAAGTCATCTATATATATTTGAACTCCTTCTAAATCACTAAAAAATTTCAGAAAAACTTCTGTGGAAAACTTCTGGTGATGAACTCAGTCCATATGGCAACCTCAAAAAACAATATCTACCAAACGGAGTGTTAAATGTAGTAAATTCACAACTTGAATCTGACAGTTTAATTTGCCAAAATGCTTTTGTTTGCATCTAAAATACTAAAGACCTTTGCATTTGTCATTTGAGATGAAATTTCTTCAAAGGTTGGTATGTGATAATGTTCTCTCAGTATATTTTGGTTAAGGTGCTGAGGATCTAAAAACACACTCTTAAATTTCCATCCTTTTTCCTTACTACCACTAATGAATTCACGAATTCTGTTGGTTGGTTAACTTTCTTTATAATACCATCTTTTTCCATTCTTGCTAATTCCTTTTTTAATGGATTTAATAAGCTAAGTGGTGGAATTTTCCTACAGGGTTCTATTTTACCAACAGCTCCTGGTTTTAATTTAATATGATATGTATATCCAGTTAAATTCCCAGTTCCTTTAAAAACAAATCTTGATATCCTTTTAAAAATTCTGGTAACTTTTCATTAGAATCAGGATTTACTGTACAAATCCTTTGTATTAGGTTTAATTTTTGCAATGTAGGTAAACCTAAAATAGCTGGAACAGTTTTATCACATGCTACGACTTGAAATTCTATTTCATCCTTGTTCCCTTTCGATGTTTCACATAATAATTTACATTTTCCAACTACATCAATTGTAGTACCATTGTAATTATTTAAAGTGACTTTTGATTTAGTCAAACATTTCTCTCTTAAATTTAATTGTTTAAATTTAGGCAATGGTAGCACATTACACTGAGCTCCAGTATCCAACTTAACAAATAAATATTTAGATATGTTTACTTTTAGTTTTTCAAACCATTCGGTTTTATTTTTAGAAAATGGATTTGTATCTTCTACTGACCCTAAAATATATTCATTACCATTATTATGTAACTCATGCTCTAAATTATTCTGTACAACATTAACATTTTTAAAAGTGCACATTTTAGAAAAGTGATTTTTCTTTTTACAGTACAAGCAAATCTTATTATAAGCAGGACAGTTGTATAACTTATGAAAAGTTCCACATTTTCTACACGGTTTTGGATTATTGTACTTATTTCCTTGATAGTTTGAAGAAGATTTAGTACTTTGTTTTACATGATAGTCTTTCTTACAAGGCTGACTTTTTTCCTCTGAAGGTCGAAATTTATTACGTTTGATAGCTTCTATTTTATTTTCTTCAGTTAAAGTTTTCAGCTGAAGTTCTGCTAATTCAGAAGCTTTACACATTTTAATACATTTCTCCAATGTTAACTGATCTTCCCTTAATAATCGTCTTTGAGATTTGAGATTTTTATTTAGAATTCCACTTACTATTCTATCCCTTATTAAACTATCTTTTAATTCTGCAAATCCACAGTTGCTACTTAATTTCTTTAAATCGGTTAAGAAATCATCAAACGATTCACCTACATGTTGTGTTCGACAGAAAAATATATGTCTATCAACACTTTCGTTTGCTTTCGGTATGCAAAAATGTTCGAAAGCTTCAATTACTTTGTCAACATCCTTCTTATCTTCTTCACTTAAATTAAAAGTATTAAATTTTTCAAGTGAGTGCTTCTTCACCAATTATATGCAATAAAATAGCTACTTTAATTTCAGGTAATTTAGTAATACCACCAGACGCTAACATATAAATTTGGAATTTTTTGTTTCCATTTCTTCCAATTTTCGCTTAAATTTCCTTCGAAACTTAGATTACTTGGTGGCTTTTAATCCATCCATATTTAATTTAGGACATTAAATTAAATAGTTTATATATACGTATTTTTAGCCACTTCCAATAAAAATAAACAACTCACTTACCAGCGATATAAGTTTCGATTCACAGTAAACAACTTCCCATGATGTTTTGTTTAGAACATCTTTACCGAGGCTGCATGGTTGTTGAAAAAAGATTTTCTTTTTTAATCAACCACGGGCTGCGCCATGTGTTGTATTTTATATGTGTTGGGTACTGCTCAGTTATGATTACAAGATGTACACAAACATCGTTTATTCTACATTACTCATCTACTATTCTATATTACAGTTATAGTTAAGATAATAATAGATACAGTTACAGTTACATATATAACAATTATATTATTAATTATTATTTTAACGGCACGAAAGTAGTTGATGAACACTTCTTTCACCGAATCAGTTGGGCGTAAGCAATTCCACGCTTCAGCAACATCACATCGATGTGTATGCCGAAATGAAACTTTAATCAAAAGTGCACAAATTCTTTTTTACATACTCATCACGACATCTTGTATATTTATTACTTTTTTTTTAATTCTGACATGTAAAGCAGCTAAACATTCTTTATTTCTGAAACTAGCCTCTTTCTTATTTACTCTTGCATGTTGACACACATAATCTTTCTTAAAAATAAACTTCGCTGTTTCCGATTTGCATTGTTTTGCTTTGGAAAATACAATCCAATGCACGCGGGAAACAGCTTCAAAATGTATTTCCCAAGTCTTCCATCTATCTCCACTATTAAGATCACATTTGATCTCAAAGTCGAAGTCGCCTTTTCTTCCGAACTTGGAAGACACTACTTCGTAGGAATATCCATCAAATAAAATTTTATAAAATTCATTTTCCACTTCCTTTGACATACTCGCAGCCACCATAAATTTGAAACATAAACTGACAACGTTATTTCTTTTTGCGCAACGTTATTTCTCACAATTTCGCCAAATTTAGTCCCGGATTGCGTTTCCTATGGAGGAAGTAAAAATAGGCAGACGGGTAAGTGGGCGGAGTCGGTGATGGAAAGGGTGGTGGTTGCCAGTGCGGTAAAGCGTTGCAGTTGAAATCGACTTTAGCAGATGATAGTAGGAACGCCTCTTGCCAGCCGAAATTTGCAAATTGCCAGAGCGTTGCAGTTGAATTCGCCCCTATAAATAATATGGTTATTTTAACTTAACTACTACTTTCACCTAAGATTTTCAAATTATGTTTTTGTTATTACTTTTCTTTTTCGCTATATGGCAACAAGTATTATTTTTTTGAAATGTGCTTTCGTTTTTACGTAAAACGTAGTGTTCTCGGCTTGTTTTGATGTTATGTGTGTCAACAATGCCAGTTTAATGCTGCATTTTCACTGAATAAATAGTAATTTCATTCATCTGGGGAACTTGTAGTTATTTTAGTGATTTGAAAGGTTTGTAGTTCATTTTAGTGATTTGTAAGCTGTCCGTAACTTTTTGTTTGCAGTGGTTCTTAAGAATGGACAACTATTATCTTGTACAATCCGCAACGAAATCCACAGTAATCAATCATTTAAATTAAAGCGCAGTTTAAAGCAGCATATGCTTATCCACACAGGAGTGAAACGTTATGTATGCACCAAGTCATTTATGTGGAAGGGTAATTTAAACTCACTTATCCTTATTCAAACTGAAGGGAAACCTTATGTCTGTGAAGTATGTAACAAATCATTTAACCGCAAATATGTATTAAACCAACATATACTGCTTCACACAGGAGAGAAACCTTATATGTGTGATATGTGTAAAAAGTCATTTACACAGAAAAGGAATTTAAACAGACATACGTTTATTCACTCAGGACAGAAGCCTCATCTGTGTAATGTATGTAAAAAATCATTTAGACAAAAGAAAGGTTTAAACATGCATATGCTTGTTCACGTAGAAGGAGACAAACCTTATGTATGTGAAATATGTAGCAAATCATTTAGATTTAAATCTCGGTTAAACCAGCATATGCTTATCCATACTGGAGTGAAGCTTCATGGTTGTGATATATGCAATAAATCATTTAGACAAAAGAATCACTTAAACAACCATATGCTTATCCATACTGGAGTGAAGCCTCATGTTTGTTGTATATGCAATACATCATTTAGACAAAAAGATCAATTAAAGAAACATCTCTTAATTCACACAGGAGAAAAGCCTTATGTGTGTGATGTATGCAACAAGTCATTTAGGTTTAAAGGTGGTTTAAATATGCATACTGTTATTCACACAGAAGAGAAAACTTATGTGTGCGAAGTATGTAATAAATCATTTAAGTTGAAACCTCAATTAAACCGGCATATGCTTATCCATACTGGAGAGAAGCCTTATGTTTGTGATATATGCAATAAATCATTTAGACAAAAGGTTCGATTAATCGAGCATATGTTTATCCATACTGGAGTGAAGCCTCATGTTTGTGATGTGTGTAATAAATCATTTACAGGAAAATTTCAGTTAAACAAGCATATACTTATTCACACACGAGAGAAACTTGCGTGTGAGGTATGTAAAAGTTCATTCATACAAAAGGATCAGTTAAACGAGCATATGCTTGTTCACATGTTCGAGAATTACCATATGAGTGATGTATGTCATAAATCATTCCAACAAAAGGGTAATTTAAGCAGTTGTATACTACATCACACAAGAGATAAACTGTATTCATGTCAAGTGTGTAATAATTCTTTTAGATCAAAGCAGACTTTAAGCAACCATATGCTTATTCATACAGGAGAGAAACCTCATGTGTGTGAGGTGTGTAAAAAAGCATTTAGATGCAAGAGTTCTTTAAACTTGCATATGCTTATCCACACTGGACAGAAAATTCATATATGCGAGGTGTGTAGCAAGTCATTTTCATACAAGGATGGTTTAAACAGGCATATGCGCCTTCACACAGGAGAGAAACCTTATTCATGTGAAGTGTGTAAAAAATCATTTAGAGAAAATGGTGCTTTAAATAAGCACATACTTATTCATACAGGAGAGAAACCTTATGTATGTGAAGTATGTAACAAAGCATTTAGACAAAAGGGTAATTTAAACACACACATGATAATACACTTGAGATAATCTCATAAGTTATGTAACAAGCTATTTAGGCATAAGAATGATTTAAACTGACATGCTTATTCATACAGGTGAAAAACTGCATAAATTATGTTTGTAACAGTTCATTTCGACAGGACAAGAATTTGGAGAAAAACAAGTTTTTATACATAGAAGAGCATAATCTGCATTTAAGCCTGCAGGAGAGGCTGCATTATTAAGAAACTTTACTTTTATTTCCATTAAGGACTTTTGTGTTCGGTAAAGAAATCTCGTTCTGGAAAGTGTGTAAATTGTTATTAAATCTAAATGCCTAATATACAATCAATTTATTTCTCTAATAACAGGTGTAAATATAAGTCATTTTAGAGGAAGGCGATTTTAACCAATATTTGCTTATCCATGGCATGTAGCAAGTTGTCTTATGAAAAAATATCTTAAGTACAGTCAAAAGTCGTTAATCCGGACTCGTCGGGACTTCGGCGATTCCGGATTATCGATTTTTCTGGATTATAGATCATCAGTTTAAATCTGGTAAAATGGCATGCAGAAATTATAAAATTAAAAATATAAAACCATAATTTACGAAATAAAGAACAATTATGATCTAAAGGGTATCAAAATTTACAAACAAAAGCTTAATATTTATTTGTTTACTTTATTAAACATTTCTTTCAATGTAAGTTGTTTAAGTTGATTCATTTTTTATGTGATAATACATTCTCTTTAATTCTATAAACAGACATAATTTCTTGTTCAGTTACAAAGTTCCGCTGTTCACATCCTATAATTGCTGTGTCGAGAATACCGACTAATTTGTCAATCGAAATTTTTTCATTTTCAATAACCTCTGTCACTTTCTTCGCTATCGGAAGCGAATTATAATGACGAGGCATTTGATTTAAATCATATCAAAGATGGAGTATATCGAGATGAAATACTACATTGAGTAAGCAATTATAAGCCAAATAAAATAAAAACATCTGCCCTTAAGATAAGGATAGTGAATTCATTGCACGCCGCCGCCGCGTTAAAGATAAACAAAGTTTAGATAAACAAGTGTTAAAGTTTAGATAAACAAAATATATGCCTTTATCCATTTTTTGCAGCAATTCCACTTTTTGTGTAATGGGCTCCGAAAGATACTTTCGCTTTGTATGTCCTTTACATATTAGTAAATATATATCGAAAATTCTATTTGACATAATCGAAAGTTCAAGCTTACTTTTATAAAATTGCTCTAACAGTCTGCAAAAAATAATAATCCGGATCCAATTCGAAGATTAAGGAATAACGCAATCTGCAACATTAACTAAAATAGATAATTTTAGCTTGGCTTATCCCGTCCGTTATACATTAAACGCGCATTCATAAACGTATTTTGCGCACGCGCACACACAAATTCGCAGCGGTAAAGGTCTTACGCGCATGCGTCAACGCAACGTATGCGCAGAAAGGTTGTAGCTTTGAGGTCCGGATTATGGGTGTCCGAATTAACGACTTTTGACTGTACCATATTTTTGGGTTGACTAAAAAGCTACCAATCTGAAACTCTTTTTCATATTCAAATGACTTTATTGGTTTGATATTTCCCTCATCAGCAGGTTTGAATCTTTATCAATTAATTGAACTTTTCACAACATTAATGTGAAATGTACTGCATTTTTTGCAAGATTTATGTAAAATGTACTATTTTCTGTCATCTTTATTGCTGCAGCCTGAAATTTCTTGCTTTCTCAACACTTTTCTGTTATTGGGACCAGATTAAGAAATGTGTGCATATGTTTAATATACCTATGCATTTATATACACATGCATGAATTTCTATATCCCAAATCCTGCCTAAATCCAGTTCAATACCTCTTTCTCACTAGAACAGGAGCTTTCATATATCTACCATTCCAGTGTTAAAAATATCTAGAAATTGGATGTCACAAGCTTAAGATTATGCGTATAGTTAATAAAAGGTCACTTTCAGATAGTGATGTTTGTACAACAGTAAAAGTATGCAACTTGATTTAATTAGGTTTTTTATTCTTCTTTGCAATAGTGGCCCCTGAAATTGAATTGTCAATCAACTGAAGTATCTCACCAAAATCTGGCTGTGCATTTTCATACCTTGTGCAGAGTCAATAAACTGTCAAGGTTGATCTTGGTTGATCTTTACAATATGGTAACTGGTAGTTTGGCGACATTTTGGAGGCGATAAAGGTTACTACCTGGCACTTTGGTAATAATGTGAGCAGTATTCAGTTCCGATTACGCATTATTTTGTGTGAGGGAAATGAGAGATCATGGGATATGTCATGTGATATTAATGGATGAATTACGGTTCTTTAATCGAAAAAGGGGGGAAATCGGGAAAAAATCTGGAAATTTTGTATTTGGCTTTATTCTGTGTTGTGTGAAACAGTGTTCGTGAATTTTTGGATCCCATGGCCATAACTAAAGTGAATTTGAAATGAGTATTTATGTATGTATTAATTTAATGTATGTGCTCATTTATATTTTAAGTAGTGTTTTTGAATTTAATATATTTTAATTAAATGATAGTTATTTGTGAATTTTATGTTTGTAGGAATTTGGTATACGTTTAAGTTGAAGTAAACGTGCATGGAAATAATTTAAATATTTTATACTAAGTATTTGTAATGCTTGCGGTATGAATTCGTTGGTGACGTGTATAATGTAATAGATGATTTAGAGGTAAAAGTTTTTGGATATTTTATTTATTTTATATGTGGAAATGTTCATATTTGGAAAGGGTAAATACTTTTTCGCGATCAGGTAATTTCATGTATGTTCTTTTTACCAGGTTTAAAGATTGAGAAAATTGTCACGTATTTTCATGAAATTTTTCTAATTTATGAGAAAAAAGCAGTGTACATGGATATAGTGAAGAGTATGCGCAATGCCATTTTTGTGCAATTCTGGGATGTTTTTTTAAGTAAAAATAAGTCGGCGTGTACATGGTTTATGTGTATGTGTTATTTTGAAAAACGTGTAAGGAGTATGGTATTGTGCACTTTTTCCCAATTTTGCAGTGAATATTTGTCATGATTAAGCAGTTTTGTTTGATAAAATTTCTAGCATAAGTGTAATTCGGCTAGTAGATTGTTGGAAGAAGTGTTCAGTAGATAAAAAGAAAAGTTCAGTAGATAAAAGATAAAAAGTTCAGTAGATAAAAAGAAAAAGATTTTGTCTTTACTTCGTGAAGACAAAATGGCGGCGGAGAAAAAAATAGAGGGTTGCTGTAGGAGAGTTGGTCGCCAAAAAAACGCCAAGTTACCATAATGTAAAGATGAACCGAAGAAAGACGTCCATGTTAGAAATTGGTTCAGCAGTTCCAGAATAGCATTTATTACTGCTATTAGATTTATATATTCTTGGGCAGAGGAGTTGACTTCCATGAAATGATATAACAAACAGCTTAATACAAGTGAAATTACTGGAGTTGATTGGTTTGGTTTGGTTTTATTGGATTACGGCAAAGCATTCAAGGGTTATCTGCCTTAAGGGAGGGATGCCTTCATGGAGGACTTTCTAAGGGAAACTAGCTCGTATACACGTTACACATGGGGAAAACCACGAAAACGCCCATGCAGACAGCCCATTCGCGGGATTCGAACTTTGGACCGACGAGTTGATTGGAAAAATTACATGCTATAAAATAATTTATATTCACACTTCACAAGCTTGGTGGAATTATAGCCGAGGTGTTGGTGCAAATCTGAAATCACTAAATATGTTTTGAGGCTGCTGTAACAAAGACGTGCTGTTTTTCTTTTCTGTTCCTTGTGGCTCTACACTCTTCAAATTTTTGTTGCATAATAGCCACTATATATTGCCTTGAGTGTTCAGTGTTGAAATCTGCCTTATGCCTTGATATATTCTGTATTTATAGGACTCATTGCAGTAATTTTGCATGTATTTATTATATTTTTATTGATGAAATGTCATTATCTTTCTTCAAAAATTATAATCATAAAAAAATGCCGGATATATGTAAAATGTTAAAAATATTCTAAAAGAGATTTATATAAATTGTATATTAGTAGTTTTAACTTCCTTGAAAATATTATTAAGGTTTAAAGAAAATGTTAAATAATATCTATGGAACTTATGGATTGTGGATTGAGTTTTGCAAGTGCCACTTATACCTTTCAAGATGGCACATCTTTGTTTAAGACGTTCGATCACAAGAGATGGAAGTTGAAAGGAATGACGGCACTGGATGAGGGTCTTGCATCTGCTAAGCGTAACTTTAGAAAAGAAAATTACAAAAGTATTTACATCATAATTTTTGGTATTATTTTAGATTATTACTTAAGATTACATATATGCTTAAAATTAGTGTTTAATATTCTTTTTTTTCTTTGCATAAAAATACAAAAAAAAAAAAAAAAAAACTTTGAGAAATAATTTTCAGAAGTGCTATTTAAATTAATAAAAAAAAAAAAACACAAAAAGGACAATTTACAAGTAGAAGTAACAAAATTTTTCTTGTGAACTAGAAGGCAGACACTTAGCTGCGTCTCTGACAAAATATCTGTGTGAGAATCACTAAATGTATCATGCTCTAACCCTTTAAAAAAATTAATCATCATTCTCACTCATTCTTTAATTGGCTTATGTAATGATTATATCCTTCATCTGTTAAATAAGGCTTACCATAATAAAATGAAGTCCAGGCTTTCTGAAATAAAAAGTGAAGTATGCAAAACGTAAGCAATAAAAGCAATGCAAAGCATAATAGAACCCCACATAGTAACCTTAAAATACCTTGAAAAGTAGCAAAAAAAAAAAAAAAAAAAAGAGTCGAAGGTATATTGGAAATGCTAGTATCTTCATCATGGCGAGCTAAAGAGCCGATTTGTTTGCATTACACTTTGCCTCCACCCCCCACAATAGCTGACACAACATTACATAAAACATGATCAAATATAAGGTCAGTATCCTAAAATTATAGGGTACTGGCAGAAATATACAACGGCCAGGAAATAAGTGTGTTTCTCAATGTCATTCGGCATGAAAGGGTTAAATAATTTTAGTTTTATGTATTGATTTCTGTATATTTTGCAACAGCATTTATTTATTTAGGATTATTTACAAGATAAAACTAAATCATATTAGTATAAAAATAATGGCTCATAATCCGGACCTCAAAGCTACAAACTTTCTAAACTAAACAAACTAAAACGAAAACATTTCGATTGACAAATTAGTCGGTATTCTCAACACAGCAATTATAGGACTTGAACAGCGGAACTTTGTAACTAAACAAGAAATTATGTCTGTTTAATAGAATTAAAGAGAAAGTATTATCCGATGAAACGAAGCAACTTACATTGAAGGAAATGTTTAATAAAGTAAACAAATAAATATTAAGCTTTTTCTTTTTGTAAATTTTGATACCCTTTAGATCATAATTGTTCTTTATTTCATAAATTACGGTTTCATATTTTTAATTTTGTAATTTCTGCATGCCATCTTACCAGATTTATACTGATGATCTATAATCCGGAATCGCTGAAGTCCCGACGAGTCCGGATTAACGACTTTTGACTGTATAACACTTTGCTTGCTAATTTTCCTACTGCATTTCCATAAAATATAAGTGATGGAATTTTAAACAGCAAAAACAACATTATACAGTGCAAACTTTTGGATACCTATTGTTGGACTAAATGCCCTGTTTGTGAAGCTATGCAACACTTTTACCTCAGCACACAAATTTCTCAATCCCAATAAAAATAATGGACTTAATAGAAAATGATCTAGTCAGAAGAATGGCCATTGGATTTTTTAAAGTGCAAATCCATGTGTATGAGACGACCTGTAAATGCTTTGACAAAATCCTCGGTTGCCACATCGCAAATCAATACTTTTTTGTGATATTTTGGCAAAGAAGCCAAATTATGAGAAAGTGTCCAATTTTTTACAGAGATATGTCTTTATAGCTTATAACAGTATTCATGTTTTAAGTAAAATATTATCAATAAAATGATTTTAAAGTGAATTATTATATTTAGTAATTCTTTTTTACAGACACAACCAAACATATTTCTTTTGTTTATAAAAATTTTATAAATAATAATCTAAGTAATTTGCAGAAAACCAGTACTACATGTATTTTTTTACAGGAAACTGGACAGTGCATGTTGACATGAAAAGATCCTTTTAATTTTTAAGCTACACATATATGTTTTGATCAAGTGCAGCGATATCTTTTTTTTTTTGGATCCTTTTCATTACAGGACAACATATAACATTTGATATATGTTACATAACAACATAATATGACATAAAATTTTTTCTTCAGAAACATGCATGCACCAATAAATGAGCTATTCACTAACTTAAAATTATCTCTGTACTAACAGTGCTTCTTGTTTTCAGACCAAATATAATCAACAAAAGGTTTTTAAAGTTTGTCAATTTATTTCTTCTCTGTACACTAATGGAATTTATTTATGAGATATATCCTACTCTTGTGTTATTTACATAACCCTCCCTCAGTCACCAATCATTGGTGGCTACTTTTTTCGCCAACCAAACATGTGAAAGAAAGAAGCTTTAAAAAAAATTTCGGCTGTCCGAAAATTACATACATTTACACAAAACAAACATCCATGATGAAATACTCAAGATTTCATAAAACAGTAACCAATTAACTAAATTAAAAATGCTAAAAACATCCATAATGAAACAACTTTATATTTTCTTGGTCTTCTGTCTGTGCACAATGATCTGTTTTAACTTGAAAAATTTCAGACATTGCCAAATTTTCAGTTTTGCAGAGCAATTTGGCACTGTTCTCCATGTACACATCAACCTGTTTTAACTGTAAAGGAAATTTTACGAGTATTGCACAAATTATTTCATGGAATGCACATTCCTATAACCTGTACTAGTAGGCAAAGTGCTATATGTATCTGAAAAACAATGCAACACTTTTCAGTGGCATTAAGATTCATTGCAATAAAAAACTCCACATGATAATCACAACAAACATGACCTTTTAATTTCAAAGCCACACAAATTACTATCATCACTAAAGATAGATTATGTGCTTCCGTAACAATTAGTGCATTGCCAGATAAATACATTTTCCTAAAATTCTGGACTGCCTATTTTAGCAATACTGTGCTCTGCCTGGTGATTCTTTTCAATGTTGGACAGATAATGTGATAGTCATTTTATATTTCAAACTGTTTTGCCATACAAATGAGCTGAGGATGGATGTATGTCCTTCTCATTGGAATTATCAAATCGATACATAACGTATTTACTTGTGCATTTTCTCCTGTAGCTTTCCCATATCACAAGGTTCTGAAAATTTTTTTAATACTCACCTTTTTTTCTTTTGCAGGCTATTTAGAATGAGAGATTCTGTAAATTTTTAAACAGATTCATCTATGTAGTGATTGTTTTTGTTTTAGTAATTGATTTGCTGATGGATTTCAGGTTTAGCGGCTGTGACTGATGAAGCAGTAATAGTGAAGAACTTCAAGAAAACTAACTAGGCTATTTAATGCATATGATGATTCTAAAGATCACTACATGTGGGCAGGCAGTCACAGTGGTGATGAATATAATGGCAATGACTCACAAGCTGTAGCAGATGACAGACAGCAGTTCCAAAAACATTAAATGATGTGCAGTCTAAAGAGTGAGAAATGGACGACAACAAACAGCAAGCAAGATTCAAGATACAGGGAAATAGAAAGGAAAAGATACTGCAATTTAATATCACTGCGTATTCTTACTGGAATGCTTCTTTTAAATAAATAATATTATGGTAGTTACCAGCAGTTTATTCATGAACAGTTTGCATTTATTATGTTCTTATTGTAACTGCATCTTTCCAAAATTTAATTATTTGCATATTTTTTCTCTCTTGGTTTTCAAATAATAAAATTAGTTAGAAAAGGAGGAATACACAAATAAATGCAGTATACCTGTACAAGTAAAACTGCTTGGCATGTCTTATCCCATAACGAAAAAGTACTTGTCTTTTCTTTTCACGTTATATAGAACAATAAGACCTTACAGTAACATTTCAAGCAGTAAAACATTGAAAACTGGCAGTTCTACACAGATTTAAACCCATCATCCTACAGAAGTCATTATCATGGACAATCCTGTTCAAGAAACACTTCAGTGTGTAAGCAAATTTCTAATTCTACTGTGTATGCTAAAGCTTGGTAATGGTTCAAAGAAAATTGCTCATACAGTTGACCAGAAAAAAAAAAAAGAGTAGAATTTAAATTTTATGTAGCTTAATATTATTGATACATGAAAACAGTCCATCCAAGAGTTTCTGTATTTATTTACATTATGACAATAAATACCTTATTAATTCAGGAAAATATTTATATGAAAATTTAATTTCAATTACATTAATTTCAGTTTGGACTGCTCATATTTCCATAGAATTTCTAGTTATAATAAAAATTTTAATACTTAAATATATGGGAGTCATTTATCTGGCCATAACGAACAGATATTAATTTCTAAATAAATTTATTATACTTCTAATATGAATATATATTTTTTTAATTTATGGAAGTAATTTGTTTAATCTAATCAAATGCCCTTTTCCTAATTATGTCCATGTATAAATAAGATTAGGATTATTTGGAATATAAAAAGCAATCTCTGGCTACTTGCATAAGAGGAAAGCCCATTAGCCAGAACTTTATCCAAGATTAACTACCTGTGTGCAACAGTTTTATTTCTGTATAAGCAGTTTTTAACCCCTCATAATCAAGTTTACATTCAAATATAATTATTAAAAATGCAATAACATGCTTATCAAACTTTGAAATGCTAATAAGTTAGTATAAAATATTAAACAAACATTATTCTGCTATTTTTCTACGTTAATTATATTGCACTGCTTCCTTGACATACATGATTTTGGGGATTAAATGTTTGGTATATCAGTAAAATTATTCAAAACATAATAAATTATTAATTATTATTTGTATTTAGAATTATATAAAACATAACAAAATGTTTTTTTTTTCATAAAAAATGAATAAAAGTTAATTAAATTTGTATCTTCAAATCAGATTTATATTCATAAATGTTTCTGATGTGTTACTCATGTTGGTGTTTAACGAATGTAATGTAAAATCAGACTTCAAATAAATAAAATATTGAAACCTTTGCACCAAACACATACCTAAAATATATTCACGGACCACATAAAATTTCTTCAGAGGCTTGCCAGTTTGAAACCACTGTTATAGACACCATTCAAATTGCACAAAAATATTTTATGATTCAGCTAACCAAAATGATTTAAATTTTCATGGAATGAATACAGGCAAATTCAATTAACCTTATCCTATTTTATCCGTCTCTTTTCTAAGTTTAAAGATTTGCATAACATCGTGAAAAGCCGTAAAAGCACTTGTTACAAATCTTGTTTCCCTATAGTTATGCATTCAGGAATATATTTCTTTATCTACATGAAAAATGTTTTCACACTTCAAGAAAAGGAGAAAAAAAATTTTAACTTTATTAAGCGAAAGTATGTACATAAAAGAATCTGCAATGTCCAACATAAACTGGAGTCGATGATGATTGAATAGCCTGGAATACATTTCACGGATGCAATATTGTTGTTGAAATACATGTATACTTTATCTTTTAAAACTTTTTAAATTATGCGATATACATTGCATTTGCATGATCATTACTGCATTTATATAGAGAACATGTTTTTAAACATATATAAGAATTATTATGGATAATTGTTCAAATTAAAAAAGAGAAGTATTAAAGTTAATACAGTACAAAGTTCATAATCCGGACTCGTTGAGACTTCGGCGATTCCAGATTAGGGGTTTTTCCGGATTATATATCATCAATTTAAATTTAGTAAGATGGCATGCAGAAATTATACAATTAAAAATATGAAATCGTAATTTATGAAATAAAGAACAATTATGATCTAAAGGGTATAAAAATTTACAAAAAAAAAGCCTTAATATTTATCTGTTTACTTTATTAAACATTTCTTTCAATGTAAGTTGTTTAAGATGTAAGTTGTTTTGAAAGCACCTTTTGACGCTCATTTCCCTCTTGGTGTCAAAACATTCCTCCCGAGGATTTGGCTATTTTTCATGATTCAAGATGGCAATAAAACTGCGCCAAGTGCTGCTTATCTGAGACTTCACCTTCCTTCCTGAGCAGATGATACAGAATTAAAAAAAAATGGTTACTTTTAAAAGAAAGATGTCAAAATGTAATTTCAGAAATCGTGTTTTCATTCATGTTCACAAAAAAAGATGAATGGGTGAAAATGAGGAAATGAAATGTTCTTCAAAAGTGTTCTTGTTAACTTAAAGAATCCAGAAAGTCTTTCAGTTTTGCAGACATGTTCAGATCTCATCGAACAGATAATATGAAGAAATTGTTGAAAAAACGCATTACGAAACATGGTAGTTATTTCAAGTACATTAACGCCATTAGTTTAGTCTTTAGATGTATCTATCAATAAACCATTCAAAGAATATTTTGAATGATGGTATAATACGTGGTTGTTAGATGGTGAAAAAACATTAACATATGAGTGGCTAGTACAAGCAGGAAATGAAATTAAATCAGACATAATTCACAAGTCATTTTAAAAAGGCAGCATATCTAACAATCGAAATGGAATGGAAGATGATTATTTATTTATGTAATTATGGTAAAGATGAAACAGAATACGATTATGTCCTTAAAAATGTAATGGAAGGCAAATAAGACAAAGTTTTCATGTCATCAAATAACGAAAATTTTATGTTCAAAATTTACGTCATTACTGTTGAAGAAACAGCATTTAAGTGCATGTAGAAATATAATTTTTGCATTCTCATCTTTTCCTTACTTTTAAATCAATTACAATACAAAGTCCAAAATTCGGACATACATTATCCGGATCTCAAAACCAACATTTTTCTTGTGGGCTTTACGCATGCACATTTCATTCCCCCCTTCGTGCATAATAAAACATCTGGAAAGTCCCAATTCTTAATTTCACTATGATACTAAATAAAATACCTTGTTATTGAAGAAACAATCATTTTCACATAATTTTGTACGATCAGTAATTTGGCTCCGTTGCTGCGTATCTGCTTGGCATACATCTCAAATTGAAACATTCCACATAGATACATCGTTGATCTCACGCCAACCTGGCGAATTATTATTTATTATACTTTCCTTTCATCACTGCATGTTTGTCAAAACATGACAACTTGAGTAATGACTCATGTAGCGATGCCTAAACAATTTTTTTATATTAGTAACTGAATAATAAAGGAGTATGGTAACCTTTAATGTTGAAATTATGCTTGGCGATGATTACAGATTTAAGTTAAATACGTTAAAAATGTTGACGAGGAAAAATTTCTTTCCATATGCTAAAAATAGATTTTGTTGATGGTACTCATAAACCCAAAGATTACATTTAGGGCTACTTGAGTTAAGAATAACTAATTTGTTATTCACATAAACCCAGAACCAGCCCCAGGGCTCATATGGCTGCACCGAGTCGTGAGACTCACAGAGGCAGTACGATATCTAGCGCCGGCCCTCAATAAGGCTTAAGTATATGTGAGAATTTATTTATTCAGAACTCTGATAAGCCTTAAGCATGTGCAAGAAATAGACATAAGTATAAATAACTAAACTAATACAATTTAGGCTTAATTGTCTCAGGGTGCGATAGAAGCAAAATAAAATTTAACAGAACGACTTGTCGTTAGTCGCCAAGCTCATGATGCATAGTGAAGGATAGCTAAATTTGATGATCATAGCTGCTAATTTTAAAGGTTTTTGAATATCACAAAACAAAGGTGAAATTTTCCAGTTAATGGATTTTGTAAAGAAATGTGAAGAATCGGTAATAAATGAAGATGATATAAAAGAAGTTTTTCATTGTGATGACAATGCTTTTCAATCATCAATCAATTAACGAATGGCAAAATCTGTAGTATGGTTCTAGATCCAGATAATACCGCTACTAATAGTGACAAAAGTGACAGAGAAGTTACTGAAAACGAAATAATTTAATAATAAACGATTGACAAGTTACTCGGAATTCTCGAAACAGCAGTTACAGTACTTCAACAATGTAACTAAACATGAGATTATGTCTGTCTACAGAATCAAAAAGAATGTATTCTCACGAAAAACGAAGCAACTTGAATAACTTACTTTGAAAGAAATGTTTAAAATGCAAATAGATATTATGGTTTTATTTTTTGTACATTTTGATACCTTTTAGATCATAAATTACAATTTCATACTTTTAATTTTATAATTTCTACATGCCATCTTACTAAATTTAAACTGATGGTCTAATATCCGGAAAAATCCAAAATCCGGAATCGCCAAATCCAGATTTCAGACTTTGTATTGTATTTTTATAATCTGGCACATAAAACACATTTGTAAATTTTGTTCTATTTTTTAACTTGATTTGCACATTGCATTATGGAATATACAGTTTATAATGAATACATGAATTACAGATAACTTTAAGATTAACGTTTCATGTCAATCTAAGTATGAAACCACTTGCTAATATGCATACTTTCTAAATGCTTCCATTTTATGTACTTGTACTCTTTGCAATTTATCATGTAGATGTATCGGCTAATCTTTATTATATGATACCCCTTGGTTTTTATCTAAAAAAATCGCCAAGTTGTATTGCTTGTTCATGAAATTTGGAAGCCCGCAGCGTGAAATAGGTTTCTCGCGATAACGATAATGTTGGTAAAACAAGCTTTGTGGATTTTTTTTTTTTTTTTTTTTTTTTTTTTTTTTTTTGTCCTTAAAAAGAGGTTATTTCTACAAATATTGCCAAGCATGTTGTGATAAATTTACATTTTAGTTATTTTTTGTAATAGTAACCCTTTTGTATGGACCCAGGTGTTTTGTTCTTACCATTCTTTTCAATTGCTGTGTTTGGTTGCATGTGCATGATATGGTCTTGTATTTTGATTTTGCTATTATTTTGCTGTGGGTACCATCACTTGAGTATGTTTGAGGTGACTAAGAGGATGAATGTTGATGGGATGGATTCTGATTAAATTGTGAATTTGAGGTTTTTGTATGGGTTGGATGATGGATGGAATACATTTGATTTTTGCATGAAAGCTGGTTTAATTGCTAATAGGTAAGAATGATCCAAAACTATGAAAAATTTAATTGAATTGCTTACCTGGAGGATGGAGAAGGTGGTGGTGAGAAGCCTAAACATATGCATGTAAAAAAAAGTATGTTAAAAAATTGACATTTTTGCTTATTCATTCGTTTCTGTGTGTTAATTTTTGTTAAAAGATTTTTTGTTTAATGTTTTTATGAT